AATGGATGGCAAACTAGGGGATGAATCCGGTTTCGCACACTTTCCTTTAGCCGAATTCCATAAAACTTGCCAAATAGATATAATTCCAATAAAAAATCGATAAGCTAACTTTTGAGATAATTCTTTTTTACAAAAATTTAAAAATTTATTTTTTTTATTATGTGTTTGTTGCGCGATAAGAACATTTGTGAAAAAAAAGAATTTCTACCTCAGTAGTAGTCCCGTTCCAATTTGAAGAAGATATTCCATCCATTATGACAAATTAGTTCATGAATTCGGTTTATTGGGTTTCACTCACTTTCCTCGGCAAATAATTCCATATACTTTTGAGGTCGGTGTTTTTAAAAAAAATTATATATAATCTCTATTCTAACAGTACTTTACCCTACTGTAACATAAACGAAAGTAATGTTTTATTAAAAATAAGTTCTAACAGGAAAATCTCGCAGGCGGTAGCTAGGTTATACGTATTATAAAAAGCTTAATAGTAAATTCACTAAAACATGCTTTATACATATAAGGTAACGCTTTATTTCCGTAATAATTAAATACGTCACTACCGGATACTTTTCTAACAAACCTCCAGCTACAGAAACGGAAACGACGGCAACGTAATTATTTAACATGATTAAAACACTTATTATTAGGTGTGTTATCCTATTAGTTAAGTAAATCTAACAAAGAAGGGAATTACTTAATTTTCACTTATTATTTATTTAAAACTAACTTACTTACTTTCATTGTTAATAGAACAATGAAAGTTTTGGACAATTGTCTTCATTCTGACGACTGCCTAAACGAATTTAATAAATGTAAAAATACATATATTTAATATAATAAAACAACACAAAACCTAGCAAGAGAGAAAGAGAAGGAAGGCCTTTGTCGACGGCAAAATCGACCACTTTTAGTAATTAGATTAGTCAAGGTAAAATATAAAAGAAAAGGTATGAAGAGGTGATTTGGCCACATGGAGCGGATGAATGAACGTAAATAGATTAACGAAAGAATTATATATCTAACGTGGAAGGCATTATTAGAAGAGGAATAAGAAGGCCTGTATGAAACGATCGATGAATGTAATTGAGACAAGAGAGGTTTGTCAGGTGGCGATCGATAGTCTCAGAGTATAAAAAAGATTAATTTAGGTTAAGAATTGTCAATTACATAATCAACACAATGTGTTTTAATCAATAAATTGTTTATTGTAATGAATTTGAATTAAAAACGAAACAAAATTAAATTAAATTATATTTATTGAAATTACATGAAATGAAATTATTTTTAGTTGCTTTATTTAACTCAAAAAGTGTATTTTCTCAGAATCGACGAAAAGCTTATTTTTCGCTTCCTGTGAAAGATCTGTGTCAATTTCTGTATAAGTTATTTCCTACTTGCCTAATATACATATTTAAAAATAAAAGAGAATAAATAGTTTCATATTTTTGAATAAGGACAATTTTGGCCAGAACTAGCTCACATAAAGCGTATCTCATTTTGGGTTAAAACATATTTTAGTTATAATTATTAATACAAAGATCGAACACTCAGAAAAAACACTCACAAAAAAATTGCTTCGATCCGGTCGGATTCGAACCGACGTCTTCTTGCATACCGTGGCAGACGCTATACCAACTAAGCCACGGAACGAACCAACCAAAAGTCCGTTGGTTCGAATCCTACCGGATCGAAGGAATTTTTTCTGAGTGTTTTTCCTGAGTGTTCGATCTTTGTATTAATAATTATAACAAACTAGTGGAGTAATTTCACAAAAAATAATTGAATATCAATTCAATAAAAATTTAATTAATACATATTTTAGTTTTAGTAGACATATTTTAGTTGTTTTTTACAATATTCTAACAACGGTTTTATTGACGTGTAGATAATCAAATTTTACGTTCAACAATGGGATAATCTTGAATTTCACATATTTTGAGTTATAACACTATTGTAATAGCAGTGCGATATGACATTCCGCGGTTATGTACCAATGTATCATAAATAATTGTCAAAGTGAAATACGCTAAGCTTGCCACCTCTTCCTGTTGTTTTGTAAACACGTTAGTAAATCACGACAGACGTAATCGCTCAATTGAATAACAAGTTTGAAGAAATTCTTCATTATTGGCAATTTTTTATTGGATATAGACAATGCGGTATTAATTAAGTTACAGTTGATGCCCTTGGATTCCTGACCCCATAGTCATCTATTTGGTTTTGAGTAGGTAGATCAGTGAAAAAAAAAGGTAGATCAGTGCGAAGAAAGGCGTTTAAAAACTTAAGTTTTTTAAAAGAACTTTAACTTTTAACCTGTGACCCGTAAACTTCATTTTGGTATAATTTCCTAATTGTATCATTAGTGAATGACATTTTTGAAGCCAGTTTGATCTTTAATTACATTACACAAATACAAATTTGAACCAAAAAGCTGGAATTCCTTTATACTTTTCTGTTAATGCGTAAGAAGACTCTCAGAACCAAAGGGTCGTTTAGGGGATCAGATATGCGAGCATCGACTGTACCTACCATATCTTTTTTGGTGGTGTTTCTACTTATATTTTAAATAGTAGACTGCATAACGATAATGAAGATATTGATCGGTCATCACGAGTGCACGATATGTAGTTGTTGATGTAAAATGTGGTTTTGCTTTTGATTTTCTTGGTCGATCCACATAATTTTTATAGCAAGATTTTTATTTTAGAGATAGAAACAAAGAAAAGCTAAGGAAAGGAGAAGGAAGGGCTGTAACAAAAACAATGGTATAATAACATAATCTCACTAAAGAGTAGTAAAAACCCGACCTCAAAAGTTCGTGGATCGGTTACCGGAAAGCGCGCGAAACCGGACTCATTCCCTAGTCCCACCCTTAGAGATGGAATGGTTACCTATCAGTAGTTCGAAATGACATTTTCCAGAAATAACGTTTGGTCGAAATTTCATAACCTCGAAAGAAATTTTGAGAGGAAAATGTTTTTTCTTTTAAATCTAACTTAACCGAACCTAATCGACTCTTTGCGGTAAACATTCAACATATCCTAAATAGCAACTGTTTTGTTATAATTCCGTTTTCGGTGTAATGAAAATTCGAACAAACGTTATTTCGGGCAAAAACATTTTCGAGTTTGTGATACGTTACCGGTGGAATATTTTCTTCAAATTTAAATGGGGCCACTACCGAGGTACCCTCTTTCCAAGTACCCGAGGGTACCTCGGTAGTGGCACCGAGGTACCCTCTTTCCAACAAAAAAGAACCATGTAACACACATACAAAAAATATACAGACGAATTGACAATCTCCTCCTTTTTGAAATCGGTTAAAAACACAACGGTACAATACTATATAACACTCCCTAACTTAAATTACATACTACATACACAATTTAAACTACATACAGTCCCTCATATTTATCTATAGATAAAAATTTAGATTATTAGATAAGCGATCAGATTAGATAAAACAGAATGATAATGAACTGCATCAATTGAAAAAGAGTGTCTAAAAAAGGTATTTACCCTCGCATGTTATATTTAAAAACGTATATTTTCTATAAAAATTGTAGTTATGGTAGTATATAATGTATCATACAATATGCCTATCCCTTTTTAATTCACTGACTTCTAAAAAGGAGGAGATTCTCAATTCTCAATCATTGCGTCGCTGCTGAGCCGCCTGAGTAGATCATCCAACAGCATCCTGAACGTTTTTGCTGACCGGTGGGACTCTCCGCTTCTACACCACTGCTTTCATGCGGACAAGCACATAGGTGGTAGCGATTGAGACTCTTATATAACAAATTTTCAATAATATATATTTTTAATTTTAATTTAATTAATGTATTGTATTTTATAATGTTTGTATTTTATTTCATTTCATTTTTGTGACTCGTGTACTGTACTATACTATGCTGTAATATTGGCGAAGTAAAATATTTTGAATTTGTATAAGTTTGCCTTGATGTGGTCGCCATTCTAGAATCAAACTGCTCCATCGGCCTTCAGCCCTTCTGCAGACATGACCGGCCCACTGCCACTTAACTGCTTACTGATTTTACGAGCTATGGCGGTCACTTCAGTTCTCTGACGTATATTTATTTTATTTTATTTATTTACACGCAGCCATTACACGCAGAGCGACTTTAAAATTGTGGATGAGGTCTGTTGTTAATGTCCACGTCTAGGCTCCGTAGGACGTAACACACCCACCTAAAAGTATATTTTCAGCCCTGACATTGGTAGAATCAATGTGGAAAACAAAGAAATCATTACAAACAAATTGGATTGAAATCTCTAGATAAAATACCTTGTAGCTGAATTTTAAGGGAAGTTAATTCTAGCTTTAAGTAATAGAGAATAAAGTTCAAAGTCCAAAGTGCATTTATCCAATAAATCGAATTCATTCAGTGGGATATTTTCTTCAAATTTGAAAGGGACCACTATTGAGGTACCCATTTCAGCAAAAAAATTATCGAAAACTCGAGTAACATACAAAAAAAATGCAGTCGAATTGAGAACCTTCTCCCTTTTTTTAAGGTCGGTTAAAAACGACAACGAGTTCCTACAATCATAAATTGACACTATCGAGCACTTGTACAAAATTAATTTCTATAATAATCAGCGAAGTTACAACACAGTTGAATTTCACGGAAATCATAATGCACTGTTCCTAATTGTGTAAAGATTGTTTTAATTATTTTTGTCAACCAACTTGAAAGTTATAAATTACAGGTTGTAAACTAAAACTTATAAGCAATTATCAGTATTGGCAATCTGCATATAAAACTGAATAGAGTAGCGTTAACAATAAAAACATAATTTGTTAAATTTGTCTTCACACTTTCTGCATTGCAATAAAACATACTTTGTGTTATTGTTTTAAAACAAATCCGCCAATATTTTATCTACACATAACAAACAAAACACAACTCTATAACGCTTATTTAAGACGCGTTTTAACATTAGAGAAACCTGTTGTCAATATATGAATCACACAAAAAGTTATATATAATAATATACAGGCATAAGCTTTTCGAACTCTACATTCCTCGATACCGTAAAATTGCTTTTACGTTATAGATAATCCGTTTTGCACTACAATTTCCGTTTCAACAGTTATTTTCGAAATTCAAATTTTGACACGAAATCACACTTATGACGCATAAAAGAATAAATTTCCACACATTAACAGCACGTCCTTGGTTTCAAATCCTAGCGCACATTTTCACACAATACCCACGTCTAAACTTTCAATATTTCATTAAATTATTTTATTTATTACACTTGCAGCATTATTCCGGACACCAATTAAATTCTTCGTAAATTTTAAAAATCTAACGTTTTGCGCATAGTATAAAAATCACTCGCTTTTCCGGGAAGTTTTTAGTCGCAATACGATGCGCGGTACATGTTATCGCTAAGAAAACATACTGAAATTTTTAATATCTTTTGCACGCCTTACATACCTTATCGGGAGTCGCGTCTTCTAGCTCCAAGAGCCTGAACTCCATTAGCTCTAGCTGATCGCGCGCGTCGCGCAGCGCGTCGGCCAGCCGCGTGCACTCGCGCGCCGCGACACTGGCGCGCTCCGACACCGCACGGCACTGCCCGCATGACTGCAACGACCATGAGGTTAGGAAATGAAAGGAATCGTGTTATAACACCAAATAGGTGAAGCGGGTTGAGTATACACCTTCTAACATAGCTGTGTTTGTGTGTTGTATCAATTGTTTCTACTACTTACTACGTGGTTAGTTAAGTTTTTGGCAAGGCTGATGTTTTTAAAGAATCTTAGACATTCGATAATTAGCTTTCCTAACTGGTGCTCGCGATTTCGTCTGCGTGTACTTCAAATACTTTACCGATTTTCATAGTTTTATTGGTTCTCCGTATAAATATTCATCCCCCTATTTCAACCCCTTTAAGATTAATTTTTGTGGCAAAAAGTAGCCAATGTCCTTCTCTTAGGTCCCACCTATATTTATACCAAAACTCATCCAAGTTCGGTCAGTGGTTTAGGCGTGAAAACGTAAGAGCCACAGTTACTTTTGCATTTATAATATTAGTTTGGATTTAACTGTCTATTTCATTCATTCATTCATTTATTCACTCTAATACGCGATTCAAATCCGAAAAAAATAGTTTTATTTTCTTTGTGTAACAATCGCGAAAACCTAAAAACTTGATATCACTGTAGAGTTACTTGGTAATTCCAGAACATTACACATGCAATTATTTACATGTTTCTTACATCATAGATATACATAGTTTGTAAGAATTAAGTTATTAACAAACTCAGTCTATTCTTGCAACAAAATAACATAAATTTCAAACAAGCCAAATTCTCTCGCCAATAATGTTCGCGTGTAATATCGCCATAGAGCAATTAACTAAATTACATCCAACGTTGAAACTAGAATATAAATACATTATTCATGTAAGCATTTGCATGTCGATTAAAAAGATAAGAAATCTGGAAGTGTATATTGAGAAATGTATAACATGTTACCGTTTTTTTATTACTTTTTTAATAGGACTTCATATATTTGTCCCACTTTTAATCACTTATAGTCCTTTAGGTTATCTAAAAGCTACTATAATTACCGTATTAATGTTATTATTTTATGACTGACTTCGTTTAGGGCATACTCAGCTCTTCACAGCCACTAGTCTTTTTATACAAAAAAATAACTGCGCATATTTTGATCTCCATCTCGCCTGATTGAAAATGACGATGAGGTCGACGATGGAGCGTGCACACCTAAACTAATCCTAAACCTAAACTATTGTGAGAAGCTATGAATGGTGTGCCGCCATCTTGATTTGACGTGTAAGTTTTTGCGCTTTGCCTATCCAATAAGATTGAATGTAAATTAATGTATTGAGCAAAATTATTGTTGTATATAAAAACGACAGTGAGCGACGAGAGAGAAGATTATTATATGCCCTATTCGCTTGAAGCTCTATTCTTTAAAAAATTGCATTAATTTATCCCACATAAACTTTGGTCACCGTACAAGGTATAAAATACAAAGCTATGACGCAAACGGAGGCGCCAATAGTGAAGTGACAAAATGTTTCAATATTTTAATACCACTTCGACATTTCGATGATCCGGTGGAGCTGGAGATGCCAACTGAGTCAAGGTCGAGAGAGCTCTTATATATATGTATTGTATTGTACATTTAATAGCAGCAATCGTATTTTGGGAACGTATCGGAGAATTATCCTAGCGTAGAATCTATCAACTATATAGTATAGTGACTAGCGTTCGTAGTGATAATTATCATTGGTAATTGTCATGACAGTTATCACGAAAATTATCTTGATAAATATACCTTGATAATTTTATTATGTTGACATTTATAACAACAAAATTTCACTGCTAGGAATGTCGTGTCATGTGTTTGTATCAGAGACGTAATTAAACGTGTCAAACGTCAATCTCAAAAGAAAGCTACAAACGAAATCGTTTTCCCAAAGATTAAAGGTCTATCCACACATATCCGGACCGCGCCCGGGACGTGAACGGGCCGTGCTCCGTCAAGGGCTCAAAAAAATATTTTTGTGTATATTTTGTATGAACTCGTTCTCACATGTCCGTATCCGGGCCAGCGGCGGGACGGGCCCGCAGTTCATACAAACTAGCACGCCCCGTCCACGTCCCGGACACGGCCCTGATGTGTGTGGATAGTCCTTTAATTCTGTGTTTATTTAGTTTTCTCGCAATTTGGTCATTTTTAATAAAAAATTAAAGAGACAACGGTATGACTCAGCACGGAGAATTATAGACTATATATCGGATAATTATCAAAGAAAATAAATATATCCAGTTCTTAGGTTTGACGATTATTGCACCTAATAAATGAAACTATTTTTTCGGGTCTAAATCACGTATGATTTGTTTTTTTTTTTTTTCAAACAAACCAACGTTTCGGGCCTTTACAGGTCCCATGGTCGTATAATTACGCACCCTGATAGTGTCCCTTTACTCAACAGTGCCTGAATTTTAAACACAATAACTATAGCTTAGGTAAATTTTATATAACAAAACATTGAAGGCCTCTGTTCGACTTCGGTCTTCAATTGACGTCATTTTGTGTAGCTGTAGGCGCTCTTTACAGAGGTGTAATACGACTATAATATAACTTAATACAGCTTAGTGTAATCTTAAGGACTTTTGTTATGCTGTCACGTGTCAGCGTTATGTCACGCATATTAAGAACTAGACCATGACTAGACCCAACATTTTGAATGTTTATTTACGGAATAGAGAAAAGGTTTGTAAGGTGTAATTGTAAATATCAGCCGGAAGACGTCTGAAGCCAAACATAGGCCTCCCCCAAAGATAGCCAAGCTATCCGTCTATCTAGCAGGGGGCTGTCCTACTGAACGCCTTCCGTTAGTGTCAAGTTTAGTTAGTGGTTTCTATTCGAAAATCTTTCTGCCCCAACGGCCGTCAGTTCTACGAGCTGCCCTGCTCACTGCCACTTCAACTTGCTAATCCTTTGAGCTATGTCGGTGACTTCGTTCGGTGACTTTGCTGTTAATAAGCAGTATTTTTAACGTTAAAACTGCTAACATTGCATATGTTTAGGCAGATTCGCTCGAGCGCATTCCTCGGTAATCGTCCGTTCTTTTTGCTATTACACGCTCAATAACTTGTGAGGCAACAATTCGTAATGAAATGTTGATTAGTGATGTTATTACGTAGATATTAAAATAGTTTTAATTAGAATTTGCTGTATAAAATCAAAACAGGAGGAAAAAGGACAGCCTTACGCAATACATCCTTTAAAACAATTGTTAAAAAAAACTGAATTATTATGCGGCAGATCGTAAAACTCCAGACAAGAAGATATTACCTTCCTTCCAAATTTACTTTTCTGTGAAGGGCTTCTTTACTACTAGTAAATTCATGGTAGTGTGCCTTAAGACGATTTGAAAATATATAAAGTGGTTAAATTTAAAGTCACCTTCATTGAGTTAACAACTCGTCGAGGTCAATTTAATGAGCCCACATAATTACGATAAACCTACCGTAAATATTTGAGAATTTGGGTAGTCTCCAGAAAGTCCTGTTTGCAATATTAGATTAATCGGAGCGGGGGCTCCGTTCGCCAGTAAGTTTGGAGGTTTGACCCAGACGCGAGGAGGACGGTCGCGAGGATGTGGCCCACTTTGTGCGGAGGAGGGGAGGGGAAGGACGTAGCTGCGCCTCGGTGCTGGGGGGATTTCTGGTGCGCAAAGTCGTTCCCGGATCTCTCGCACTAGAGCACCCGAGAAGGCTACCGCGAGGTTTTAGCTGGTAGAAGGCATAACCTCTCCGCTGCCCGCGCCGTGCTGAGGTATCCTAGGACGGTTTCCCCACGAAAAAAATGGCCTACTGATTAAAGCTACCATCTTATTGTAATATCATCTTGCTTGGGGTGCACGAAAGGAGCCTCCCCGCATGACGACGTAACATTCCTTTCCTGTACGCCTGGCACACCTTGGGTAACAGTCGGCGAGTACCTTACACCGATTCGCAAATTCTCTCACCACGGCGGCTTGCGTTATTGTACGCATGCCATCGATACCACGAGAAGAAGATCGTGTTAAGACTTCTATTAACACGTTCACGGACAGCAATGCTGTAGCATTTGCATGTGCCACGAATGCTATAGTGTGCGAAGTTCGTCTTCCTTTCTTGGGCAGAAATGCTGAAGAATACGCTTTACCGTAGTAAATTAGTATTGATCAGGCTTTACAGTGACATTTAATACTCAGTCAAAGCCGCGTACAACGTTTTGGCGAAACAATATTTGTTAAGCCACCTCCCCAATTATGACACGAATGCTGTAGAATCCGTCTTAGTATGAGATTTTTTAGGTGTTTAGTAAAGTGATTTTCGCGCGCGTCAGCCGTTTTGTCACTTTGTGTTGATCGGCGTAAGTGCTATAGCACTCAACTGATATAGAATGCTACAGCGTCTATTGTCACATTCAGTGATATAAGCGTGATAATGACGAGGCTGCTATGATATTTCCAAAAATGTCATACAATTTTTTAGTGTCCAAAGTGGGTGACTCACTGTGCCCTCGTAACGAAGAAAGTCACAACGTGTTAGCATAATATATTTAGTTCAGGTAAGATATCGCTAGATGGCGTTGAACCAGTTATGTGCATTTTCAAAACGTGCTCTATTAAGTTGGTCTCGGAAATAGATAACTGTGGAGTAACTAATAATATAATATGAACTTACCATTGGAACATAAAAGTCGTCTCATGAGTATTTTTGGGACGCTATATGTACACATCGATGTGATAGTAAAATAAATAATACTTCTCTACGGCAACTGAGAAAACAGCTGATGATCTTTTAATAGCTGAGCAAATGTACGTCAAAGACAGATAAAATTTATTTAAATTAGCCTTCAAATAAATAAAAAACCGCTATGAGATCAGTCCATCCGTTTTGGAGCTACGATGCCACAGACAGATACACAGACAAAGGCTTTGAACTTCAAACTTACCTCTTTTGGAGCGGGGGCTAACATTCCCATTGGGAATTTTGAGCTCTCGGCTCAAAATTCCCAAATATAATAGCCAGATATAATCTGGTATAATAGCCAGATATATCTATACCCTACTACTAAAATTCGTAGTTCCTGATGAAAAAATAATTATATATCTAGGACCTTCCAGTTCTTTAGCATTGCCGTTTAAAAAGAGCAGGCGCAAGTATTTTTGCACCGAACAGTAAAAGCAAGTCTGTCAAAAACTTACGCTATAAATAATCGTGTGGTACAATCATATACGGCGATTCTAGTATCGTCGTTTTCGCTAAATATCCACCAGTTTTTCCACGGACGCTAGAATTCCTTCTAGGTATTTGAGTAAGTACTAAACGCACAATAAAAATAGTAGATAATGAACTACTGACCCACATATCGGTGAGCGGCTGCGGCGAGAGTGAGGCAGGTGCAGAGGACACCGCAGAGTCCTCGTCAGACGGAGCCTCCTGCGACAACAGAACAACAACAATCAAACCACCAGTCCACTCTCTACAGTTAGCATACAACAACAGCCAGTAATTTTTTTTTCACCTCACAGCTCAGAAAGGTTTTTTCTCATTACAAAATTTTTCTCATTGAAATTCGAACTTGATGATGGATTGTGGTATACTTAAATTTTTCTTTCTTCTTTTTCTTTATTAAATAATTTTAATTTGTCGAAGTACTAAACTGATTTGTCATACTTCAATTGTTTTTCTTCATCTACCATTTTCCTCGCTATAGTGAGGTGAAAAGTTGTGTGTTTTGCTCGACAGCAAAGTTGTTTTGAGTCTCGTGGCTTGAAACCCTCACTATGCTCAGGATTCTGTTTTTGAACCACTACGTTTCCCTCGTGGTTGAATCTTAGAGTCCTTCACTTTCTCTGGTTTCAATACAAGCACTCGCGTCGAACAACTTTGCAGCCTTGCATAACAAATAACTATTTATAGACATATCTAAGCCTCCCCTAAAAAAGTAGCATTTCTCATAAACGTCATTCTTGAAAAGAGAAATTGCACAAACTTATGCATGTAAAAAACCCAGTTTCAATTAAAGTTACTACATAAATACATGCTTTATATATACGTTTTAAATGTGTAAAAAGTCACGCCTTAAAGATTTCTAATTAAATTATTCACGTGATCTAAATTGAATGCAAAAGCAAATTGGTTCCATAACAACCTTTCAAACGGTTAATCAAATATGATTAATCGACTTGACCTGTCGGAGTTTCCGACGGACTATGAAACATCGTTATGTATCAGTTATGTAAGTATTTAAAGTATAGATATATTTATTTCACTATAAATAAATAAATAACGCACACACTCAACATAGCCCCGCACTAGGGAAACCCTGTGTCGCGGGTGCCATGGACACACATATAGACAACCACAAATTACACCCAAACTCACGAGAGAAATAATTGTAGGCCATACAACTATTTCTCTCGGCCCGGGAATCGAACCTGGGACCTCTGCGTGGCAGTCCGGCATGGTAACCGTTCGGCCACGGAGGCAGTTGTGCACTATGCAGCACGTGTGACTTGTACGCACGACGTGACGATGCTACCTCCTCTATCGTCATTCCACCTTGTTATCACCTCCTTTTCTGGTACCTGGCCACTTACTTTTAACATTCTGAATCGTTCTATAATTCATTTTCTTCGTTATTCTTACTGTCACCACTCCTATTAAAATCTTAAAGCGTGAGGATGTGCTCATGAAGTATCCTCGTCCAAAGTCGAAAGTATCCACTTCATCTGCGCGTACAGGCGCTGTAAACGCGCGTATGTATCGGGCATTTTGACAAGAGATAGCTTTAATTTTCGTCTTTAAATTTCATCTGCGGCGCGTATACACGCAGATTACGCGCGTTTACGATGCTTACAAATTACGCCGTGTGCAAAGGCTCTAACTTCACGTGGTTTACTTTTTTTCATCATTACAATACGTAGGTACACATAGCCTTGGGCCTTTTGTTCGTTCATTTGCTACATCTAACAACAAACAAGTTCAAGTGGACCACCCTTATTTTACTGTCACGAAGGCTAGGATACAACGGGACAAAAGTCCTGCGACATGCCATCCATAACAGTTGCACAGCTTTAAATCAAAAAGATATGTAACCTTGAGACATGAATTTGTCAACTCCCTTGTGTCTGTAAATTCACCGGCATCCTCGCATTTCAAAACTGGAACGCAATAATGCTCAAATTACTACTTGGCGGCAGACAAAGGTACGATGGCAGTACATCACTGGACGAACTCTATTAGGTAGGGGAGCGTGGGGGAATGGGAGCCCAAGGAAAATTGATAATAAAAGTTATAATTTATGCAATTTAAATTTTTGTTAGTTATGAACGTACGCTTCACATATCTGGGTACTAGATAATCACAGAAAAAATGTGACAGTAAAATATAATATTTGGTTAAAAAGAAAAAACTAAAACATGTCATTCGCTCCCATTACCCCACAGTTCGGGAAATGGGAGCCGGTAAGAGTCCCGTATGTCAAATGGGAGCCTTTATATATAATTAGTCTGAAAAATAAATTAATAAGTAATGAGAATAAACAAGAAAGTGTCAAAGGTATATCCAGTGAATATTGCAATGGGATAAGGAGAGCCAAATAGCTCTCATTACCCGCGTAACATCGAATTGAAAAAGGAATAAAACAGTAAAAACATTTCTATTTTTTATTGTGATTTCAAGCAGAACTTCTAAAATTTGATAGATATGGTGAAAAACACACAACCATCTCGTACGACTAAACTCGGGGTTCTACGGGGCCGCCCACAGGACTCGAACCTTGGCGAACGTTAACAAAAATATAGGAGTGCCGTTTGCACAAATACGAGCATTGGGAACGTTCAGTTTAACACCGCTCTCATTACCCGCGGGCTCCCAATACCCTACGTTCCCCTACATGGAACTCTACTGCTACTGAAATTTGGAATGTTTCTTGTTATAGTTGGTTTTAATTCCACACATACAAATTAAAGTCAGTCAGATATACGCTGCCACAGGTAACATTGAGCTGCCTCTCATATGAAGACGTAATAAATAGAAAAGTATTCCTGAAATAGGCATTACTAAAGGTACACGAACGGAGCCTCTCCGCTCGACGTACCATTCCCTTCCCGTGGTCTGCCGCAACCATGGTCGCAACCTGAGGCTTGATTTTGATTCAAATTGGAATCGACCCGATCGGGTAGTCTCGAAATTAGATGGGTTTCCGAGCGAAAAGATGACCCTGACTCCTACTATATCTTTCTAATTTGTGAGTTAAACCAACTATTGTTCCGATTTGAAATGTCAAAAATTTCCGATTGGCCAGTTGTGAATTGCAATTGTGCGCCTCGACTCGGAAAAGACGCAGTTTCCGATCGAGGGAGGCAATCATAATCAAGCTGCTCTGCAACAATCGGCACGTACCCTCGCCGATTATTTACAATCTTGCTCTGGAAATAACTTATATACGGGCTTAATCCTACATCGTAGATACTTACTCTATAGAACGATTCCTTTCTGTGTTGTATATCTGTCTTCAGATCGTCTCGGTTATTCTTCTCTTTAATCTGTAACAAAGAGAAAACCGTTATTTTTTGTTTTGACTTATTTGTTGATCAAATTTAATACTGCTTTAGCATGATATCACTTCAGGTCACATAGAAGTATATGTAATATTAAATAACACTTTAGTAGCAGTAGAGCGCCCTGTGAAAGAATTCGTCCAAGGAAGTACTGCCACCTTACCTATTTCTGCCGCCAAGCAGCAATGTCAGCATTACTGTGTCCCGATTTTGAAGGGTAAGGGTGCTGGTGAAATTATAGGCACATGGGACTTGTCAACTTATGTCTCAGGGTGACGGGCGCAGTGGCAGCGCCTCTCAGACCATTTTGATTTAAAACACTGAGTCGCACTGCAACTGTTATGGACAGACGTGTCACTTACCACCAGGCGCACAACTTGTCCGCCTCGCATGCCGTTACTTAGTATCATAAATAATATACCGATTGGTATCTAAGCAAAATCACGGAATTATTATCTTGCCATATTTTTAAGACTTATTTAGTTTCTTACTTTATTGTTTTAACGTTGTTAACTTTCTTATCCTTACAATTTCACTTGTCTCCATCTCTGTAGCCTCGTCACTGTAACGACATAAAATTGTGGAAACACGACTTTCAACTACACCATTAACAAAATATTCCATGGCATATAATAACAGCCCAGGGCAAACATCCTGCGCGCTTCTAATGTCATGACTTCGTGACCAACTCGATAAAAAGTAATAACTTTAGACTATAAAATACATTAGTTAATGATAAACCAAGACCGAAATTATCCCTATTTTTTATTAACATTGGAGAAAACGAATCGCCTGGACAAACCAACAGGCAAAGTTATTGTAAACGTAAATTTCAAACTATTTCATTGCTTTTTTATTTTCGCAGGCGTTAAGTTGTAACTCTATGAAACTAGCATTATAAAATAAATAATATCACCTCAAACGAACTATATGAATATAAATAGGAATTGTATGTAATTTAGACCAAACTAGGTATATCAATTTCAAACGCTACAAATAATAATGCAAAAGTTTTCAACTAAAAGAAGAAATTTGATCCAAATGTCTACTTTTAATGATGACAGTTTTATGTAAAACAAATGGAAATTAATTTCCTAAAACAGCATTCATGATAATATATCTCTTGACGGTCAAAATATAATAAAGAATGTTGTGTTAGTTTATTTTAATGTTTTCCATTATATAAGTTTGTTAGCTGCTCTTTGGTAGACGCCCATCAATCAACGAGGCAATTAATATTGCGTAATATTGCGAATTTTACTAACAAAGAAAGCTGATGTTTATTTTTTATTTAATATGTGTGTAACAGGTTATTTTGCGGAATATACCCATGTAGGAAGACTAGTGCACTACCGGTTGTATTTCGAGTTAGAATAGGTATGTTTCAGACAAACGCATATCGTCTCTTTGTCGTTTAATATCACGTAAAATTGTGGTCAAACGCGTGTCTATCTTGCATATGGAGTGAGATTTAGTAGCATAGAGGTCCTTGTGAAAGAATTCGCCGAGGGAAGTACTAGCAACTTGCCTATTTCTTATTTGAGTGGTGTGAAATTACAGGCAAATTACGGGACTTGTCAACTTTAGCGATTTAAAGCTCTGGGTGGCACTGCAAATGTTATGAACAGGCGTGTCGCTTACCGCCAGGTATACAGCTTGTTCGTCCTGTCATTTGATACCATAAAACAAACTGGCAGTAAGGCTTCTGTAGGCTTCCTGTGGGCTTATTCCCGCAACGCTGTAACTTGAGCTTTTAGAAGGCGAGAGTGAATAGGCATTATTTAACCTTATCGACACTTCACGGTCAGATTTGCGCTTATTAAAAAAGATAATATCAAATCTTTAGTAACTACAAATTCATAGAGCGTTTCATAAATGTTAATGCTGTAATTTAATAATGTAATAATTTACATTACTGGGGAACGGAAGGGAAGCAATTTTTTAAATCGATTGTGTAGCGTACAAACTAGATACGAGCCAATAAACAAGTTGTGCGCCTTCAGAAGAATTCTGATTCAGGCTCGTGTATTCCCGTAGCTAACGTTATTTAGTTTGTACGTTATATACACAAAATTAACGAAAAATAAAAAGTTCATTATGATATGTTCAATTTTACAAAAATCTCGCTTCCATTCCATTACGCGGCAATGTAAATTGAACCTCAATTCAAAATTAGGAAGGCGATTTTCATGGTTTGCGATGCGGCAAGATGGACTGTCATGTGATACATTAACAAGACATCATGAATCCATTATACATCTGGCATTGAGGCACGGGTCTCTAAGGAAAAGGGTTCGGTCAGTTGTTTTTGCAGACCTAAAAATTTCTTTCGTCGCAAAAAGAAATTGAGGCGAGTCACTAAAGGAGAAGCAGGAAAAACTTTTATACTTGATGGAATGGTTTATGTATTTACTATTAAATACCGGCTCTACAAAAAAATACGATACACCTAAGGATATTATCTAAAGAATATGCTAATTGGTTACTCGATAGGATGTACTTTACTCGACCGAGGATTTTATAATCCTGAAAACAGGCTAAACTTTGCATATAAATTTTCTATGGAGATATTTCTCTTTAAGTACTACAGAGAATCTCCTAAATTTGGGTTTTTAACTGAAGCCCCACAATTATTAAATTCGCATTTATACCAATATTTGTATTTGACGTCGGATCTGTCTCAAAATTTCTCCACCTGTTCTATTTTATGCATATTAATTGTCAGCGCGCGGGTTGAGGGACGCGAGAGGCAGTCCCCCGTACCTCACCTCCTAAAATATAGGCTCGCGTTGAAATACCTCGCCTTAAGAGTCGATACTATCTCAGCACGAATTCAAATTTTCCCGTACTAAGTAATACGGTTCATTTTGCTTGGGCTTTATTTCAGAATTTATTGTTTAACAAACGAAAGTAAAGTCGTTTGAAAAATGTATATCGTATACTATAAGGTGTTCTATTTAGTTCAGTTGATATAAAATTACAAAACAGTACAGAGTAGTAAAAAAACCGACCTCAAAAGTCATTCATCCCCTAGTTTGCCACCCTTGGAGATGGAATATTTTCTTCAAATTTAAATGGGGCCACATCTGAGGTACCCTCTTTCCAACAAAAAAGAATCACCAAAATTGGTTCAGAAATTATCGCGTAACATGCAAAAAAAAAAACATACAGTTGAATTGTGACCTCCTCCTTTTTTGAAGTCGGTTAAAAATCATTGGTAACATGAATGCAGCGGTTTTTTTGTAAAATTTCGGGGTAAATTTGTGTTTCTTTTTTCTGTCGTGTCGATTTTCAGAAATCGTGTTTTCATACCGCATAGTAATCAATGTATATCGTCAATTTTATTATATATTTTTTCCAAAGTGAATTACTCAACACTTTCATTGTTATTCGGAAACAACGAAAGCCATTTGAGACTCTTAAATGTAATCCGCTATTCGGACCAAATGTGGTTCGAGGACTACACGCTTTTCAAATGTCTTTACAATTTCCAAGTCTACTTTCTTTCACGGTTAGCTAGAAGTACTGCACAAATTTACGTAATACATCTATCACTTCAATTTTGTAACTTATTATGTGATTTCTAATAAATAATCCAAAGCTTTTGTTAGTAACGGACAATACAACTACCCGTTATTGCTACACTTACTGGAATGATTAGCGAAAGCTGATAGAAAGTATTCAAGGGTCATCTCGTTGTATATCTGCCCTACATTCATTGCTTATATCTTTATGGGAAGATTTCGATCTGCTTTCGATCCAATCGTAATTAATAGTGATGCACGATTGATGATTAATTCAAATAATGAATGAAAAGTCAAGTTGAAAGCGCCACGAAAAATATTTTGATCATTATGGAGAAATATACAATGAGTAGTGATAGTTACTTTTAACCGAAGTTTTATTTGTATGTATGTTACGCGATAACTCCATCATTTGCGAACAGACTTTGACGATTGTTTTGTTGTTGTAAAGAGGGTACCTCCATAAATCCTCTAAGGGTGGTTGTTCACGCATGAAGATTCATTGTTATAAATAGCGCCTAAATTTTATTACAAGGAGCAATTATTTTAATGGTTGATTTTGCTATTCTTCGATTCAAGGCGTTTTCTCTCTCAATATACTTTGAATAGTGAGAACCGATTTTTATTATAGCCTTTGTCAAGTTCCGTATAGTGGCGAACTAGGGGATGAATCCGGGTTTGCGCACTTTCCGGTAACCGATTTCAATAAAACTTAGCAAATAGATTGTATTGCTTGAAAGACGTGTCACGCGCTGGGACCGCCCAAGCATGTCTTGTAGGTTTTTTCTCGGTCCAATGTAGCCTTGAGAGCTCTGATGATGTCCTTGATGAATTCAACAAATGTGTATAAATTATTTGTGGCACAAAAAAACATCGTAAAAGAACCTGATAGACGCGACTCGTCCTATCCGCCATTACAGAATCATACGATTGAAACGGTCCCTCGGT